AACATTATAAACCGACTATAATTCCATAAATTAAAAAAGGGGGGGGGCTGCAGGGCAGGCTGAGCCGAGGACCCGTGGAGACCTGCTGTCACCTTCGCTTGTGCAGGAGTCCACGTGAGCCATGCATCCCGGCGGCGGGGAGCTGGGGGTCTCCTGTCAGGATCCCCTCCCGTCAAGCGTCCAGCAGAAGTGACACCTGGCCACACCCGAGCTGCTCACCCATCCAACTGCCAAGTCTCCTCTTCTGGTCCAGAGGGAGGAGACGGCCCAGTTCCCTGGTGAGCTGAACAGAATAAGCCTGAGGTTTCTCGCAAGGGAAACAGCGGCAAATTCTAAGCCTTTACATGGGTTTCAAGCATCTTTAAAACGAAACAAGTACCTTCCGCTTTTACTGAAGAACATTGCATGTTGTAAAAAAAATGTAGATATTCAAAAAGACCAGTATTAATCTGTTACCTCATCACCCTGAGGAAATCGCTGATCACCTTGGTCCTTCCAGACAGCCTTCTCCGCACCGCATGTGAATTTTAACGATAGACTATACTGGAAGCTCTCTGAGAGCAGGAAGCAGACCTTGTTCATCTTTAGCCCCAGCACCTAGGATAATACTTGATGCAGAAGAGCCACTTGGTAAATATTTGATAAAATAATTTTTAAGATGAAAACTATTTGTCTCCCAGTACGCAAAGAGAGTGAGAAACGCAATCTATTACAAGTGAGTTTGCCCTGGATGGACACGTGTGTGAACTTCAGGCATCCTGAGGAGCAGGTGAGGGACAAGTCAGGGTGGGAGACCCTCAGGTGGGTGGAGGACTCTCCCAGGACAGTGCCAGGCAGCCCCAGGGGGCAGCTGGTGCTTTCAGGGATAAAAGAACCCAAAGGAGTTCGTGTGTCAGAGTCTGAAGGACACTTGCTAGGCTGGGTGCAGCCAGCACTGTCCTCGGTCCCCTGTTGGGGTGGTGCTGGTGTAAGAGAGGTGTAAAGCCAGGTGCCCCACCCGCTGGCAGGGGGCGTCTCCTGTCCCAGCATTGGTCCTGGGAGGTCTCCTAACATGTGCCCCACCCTCTCCCTCTCTCCCCAGCTCCTCCTTCCCTTCCTCCTCCCCCACCCCCACCAAAGATGCACACCCTCAAGTCTGCCCTGACCACTGCCCCAGCCCCCTTCCCCGTCCCCGCCCCGACTCCCTGCTCCCCTCTAACCCCTTCCCTTTGTGCAGCCTGCCGGGGCAAGGATTCTGGGCTTCCGTGGTCTGGCTGCAGTCCCCTTCCTCTGTCCCGTGCCACATCCGTGCAGGCACGCGGCTCCTTTCCTCGCATCAGCGGCTTCCTAGAGGCTGCGTGGGCCTGGGCTGGGCTGTGACCACCGGGCTGGACCCTGCTCGTCCCTCCCGCCCTGCCTTCCCCCACTCCAGGTTCCAGCCTCTTCCTTCTGCTGCCTCCTCAGCTCCAAGCCTCTTGGAATTGCAGGCTGTCCATGCTCCCTGGGTGGGGGAAGCTGCTCAGGGTCACAGAGCAGGTCAGGGCTGGGCTGGGGCAGGATGGCTGCTGCAGCCTCCCGCCCGCAGGTCTGGGTGCAGCCTCAGGAAGGGGAGGTGGCCTCCCCTGCCACTAGGGCAGCGAGGTGGTCCTGCTGCCTACTCTTGGGCCCCCTCTTCTATCGTGAGGTGGTTCTGATCCTAGCTGGTCTGCTTTGCCACGAGGCCCTCCTGCCGGTGTTGGGTCTGTAATTCTGGGGAGGGGTGGGAGGTGGTGGAAGGGACCCGCTCAGGAGAAATGGGCTGGACAGGAAGGCTGTAATCTGCCACCTGCTGGCTGGATTCAAGCTCCCAGCAAAGTCTCCTGGTCTTTGAATCTCGTCTCCACCACCGTGACCTTGAAGTCTAGGATCTTTGTCTTCAGTGTCCCCACCTCCCTCCTCCCACTTGTGCCTGCCCTGCTTCCTTCACTCAGTCTGTCAGCCCTGGTCACGTCAGCGTCCCGTCCCAGGGGAGCTGCGGAGCAGGCGGGCCCTGGCTAGGGCCGTGTTTCACCCAAAGGGGCTGCGTGCTAGTGGGGGCTCCAGGCAGCTGGCAGCAGGTGCAAGGGAGGGGCTCTGGGGCAGCAGTTTCCTAGCGCTCTGCAGACCCGACCCTTCTCTAGGTGAGGCCGATCCATCTGGGTTTGTTACTGAATTAAAATTCCAAGGAAGACAGCCTGCAGGTTGTTCCCAAATAGAAACACGTGTGCAGAGAACAAGGGGCTTCTGCCAACTTGCAGACAGGGCCTCCTCCCCAGCCTGTTCCTCCGCCTGCAGCCCCTGGACTGGCCGACCTGGGGAGGAGAAGGATCTGGTCATGCTGCCCCTGCTCCAGGCAGCCCCGGCCACGTGGCCGAGCTGGACGGCTGAGGGGCAGGGCCCTCGTGGTGGAGGTGTTTTCCGTATGGAGTCTTTCCCCACAGTGAAGGAGCGGCCAGACCCTGCACGGTCCACCAGTGGCCTAGGATGTCTGCCCGGAGCCAGGAGAGTCTGAAAAGCCCAGGCCCGTCTGGGGTCTCGGGAGGCCAGCTGGAGGGAATTCGAAGCCAGCCGTCCCAAACTGCCTCTCCCACTGTGATCGCGGCCGAGGGTGGAGCTCGCCCCAGCCTGCTGGTGGCACGATGCCCGAGGACGGGCCCCTGGCTGAGCCTCTCAGGGCGCTGGTTCTTTCCCGTCTGCCCCTGGCTTCCCAGCGCCCGGCACGGAGTGGATCCAGCCACTCAGTGTGTGTTAGACTGAGCTGAAAGTCCAAGTAGGCGTTGGTACGTGGGAGAACGCCAGACCAGGGGTTCCGTGCAAGAGAAGGGGCGGGGGTTTAGCCCAAGGTGTTCTCAGCTGGGGAAAAGCAGGAGCAAGCACCTGGCGGGGAGCAGGGCAGTGGGGGAATTACAGTCGCCACAGCAGCGTGGAGGGCGGGGCCGTAACTGGCAGCGGGATCAGCGTCGGACCAGGCGGGGAGCCATCCGAGTGTGTGGAGAACTCAAGGACACCTGGGCAACCACTGAGCAACCGACTCAGCACCTGCAGCCGGGAGACCGGCTGCTTGGAGGGAGACCACGCTCCACCGGCCTCAGACCACCTGCGGGACAAGTGATGATGAAAGAGCTGCCCGGCTGGGCTCAGGACGGGGGTCGGGT